CACCGATGGGACCCTGCCCAGATCTTTCAAGGATTTGTGAGCTCCTCACACAATCCAGTCTGGTTAAACCCAGGATGGATCGTAGGCAGGTCAGCCTAAATGTTTCTAACCGGCGAAGATGTTCCATTAGGGGGGTCCACGTTTCGCAAGCGTAGAGAAGGGAGGGAATGACCGTGGCCGAGAAGACCTGAAGCTTAGTGCGGAGCGACAGACCAGGTAGCTTCCACACAGCGTTACGCAACTGATGAAAAGATATTGCCGCTCGACTGATTCGGAGTGAGACCTCTGCTGTTAAACTGGAGCCAGTCATAAGCACACTGCCCAGGTATGGGAAACTCTCCACTCTCTCCACAACTGCCCCATCACCGATTGGGAGTTGTGGGGGTGGAGTGTCCGATGGTACAAAATACCCAGGCAGGTGCTTAGTTTTGGTGGGGCTGATGGTAAGGCCCCACCTCTTAGTGGCACGCTCCAGTCTCAGCAGCAGCGTCTCCAACTCCTCCTCTGACTGAGCAGCTATTACCAAGTCATCAGCATACATAACGTGGTTGAGCAATAGGGAGCCATCCCTTGACCGCACCCGGGCATCGATTAGCCTCCCATTATATCTGTACCATATGGAGATTCCCCCGGTACAGCTATTGAAGGCTTCACGAACTACGTGGTCAAAATAGATGTAAAAAAATGTGGGAGCCAGAGGACATCCCTGTCGCACCCCAAGGTGTACAGGGAATGGCTCTGACTCCCGGCCACGTAGTTTTACCCGGGCCCGCTCACCATCATGAAGGTCCTTAATGATCGTGAGCAGAGGGTCAGGTACTCCAAAAGCACGAAGAACGACCCAGAGCCCAGGCCTACTGATGGTATCATAGGCCTTGACCAGGTCAATAAAGCAGAGATGTAGGTCTTGTTGGAATTCCCTACACCTCTGCTGTAGCAGACGGACAGAAAATATGGCATCTGTGCAGGACCGCCCTTTCCTGAAACCGCATTGGGGCTCCGCAAGCCTCTCCTCAGCGTGCCTGGCAAGGCGATGCTGAATAATCTTTGCCAGGACCTTTCCCGGCACACTGAGGAGTGAGATGCCCCTGTAGTTGTTACAGTCTGTGCGGTCCCCCTTCTTAAAAAGGGGGACCACCAGGGCATCCTTCCAATCCTGCGGAACCCGTCCAGTGGTCCAGACTGTTGTTATGATGTCATATAGGGCAGTCTGTGCACAAACGCCACCCTCCCTCAGCATTTCGCTTGGGAGATCATCTCTGCCCGCTGCCTTTCCTGGTCTCAGACTCCGGATCGCCTTCAATACTTCCTCAGCAGATGGCACCTCAGCCAGCCACTCACAGGGGGTGACTTCATCCAATATTTGAGGCACCGCAGCCTCAGCAGGGTGATCCTCACTTTGTGCCACGATGTTTTCCTGGCTGAGGGATTTTCCCTCCCCCAGGACCTCACAGAAATGCTCAGCAAATCTGCGAACCTGTTCCTGGGGGTCGGAAATTGGATCACCGTTTTTTCCCCTAATGATGGTAATAGGTGTGGCGCTGCAGGTTACTTTTTTGATGGAGTTAAATAGCGATTTGTGATCACGGGCCACTGAGGCAGACTCCATCTCCTCAGCAACCCGCGACCACCACCCATCCTTGCAGCGCCTCACGGCTCTCCGAACCTCCGAGCGAAGGCTGCGGTAAGCCTCCTCATTCTCTGACGTGGGATTCTGTAGCCGATGACAGTGGGCCTGTCGCTTTTTCTCAACCATCCTGAACAACTCCTCTGTCATCCAGGGTGTCTGGGGAGGTCTGGACCGCGTACCCAAAGCAGCCATTGCAGCTGCATGAGTCACAGTCCTAAACCTCGCCCATTTACCCTCGACATCAGGAGGAGTCGGGGACGATGCCAATCCCAGCCGCAAGCGATGATGAAATTCTCGCTTGCAACTTTCTTCAGATAACTGAGACCAGGCCACTTTAGGTTGGAATGGGGTCCTGGGTGTACACCCACCACCGGAGTGGAAGAATGGCAGGCGCATCTTACAGATGACTAGTCGATGGTCAGAGGGCAGATCAGCTCCACGGTAGGTCCTGGTGTCAAGGACATGGGCTCGCATTCGCTGGTCCGTCACTATGTAGTCCAGCAGATGTTCTTGCTTGGACCCGGCATGCATCCATGATGTTGTGTGGATGCGCCGATGCCGGAACAGCGTGTTGGTAATTACAAGCCCATGGGCTGCACAAAAATCTAGCAGCCTCCTACCGTTGTTATTGAGCTGATCTGGCCCATGCCCTCCAATCACTCCAGACCAGGTGCCAGTATCATGACCAACTCGGGCATTGAAGTCACCCAACATGATGACTCTATCCCGAGGGGCCACTTTAGCCAGCACCTGTGACAGGAGGTCATAGAAGGCATCTGACTCATCGGCTTTGCCTGCATCCCTCCACGGATGTTCATCTTCGGTGGGGGCATAAGTAACCACGACCACCATTCCTCGCCTCCGGTTGATGGGAAGGCGAGCCCAAAGTAGCCTGGGGCTTACAGCTTCCCACACCTCACCGCCACGCTCCCACGCCCCCTTCATTCTTTTGTTCAAAAGAAGACCCACATCCTGTTGTTTGGCAGTCTGCTGCCCCGAGTAGAGGACTGTCCACCCCTCATGGTGGCAGGAGCCAGAGCCGGTCCACCGGACCTCCTGAATGCCGCATAGATCCAGGCGGTACCGGTCCAGCTCCCGACAGAGGAGTGGCAGCCTCTCCTCTGCAGTGAGCGTTCGAACATTCCACGTGGCCACCCGTAGTGGCTTTTCGTTGTTTCTGGAGTAGCCCCGAGGGTAGGTATTCAATCTCCTGGCTCCGCCAATTGGGGTTTGGCCAAGAGACGTCATAGACGCCTGGCCCCCCGGGCCTCCGGCACAAGCTTAGTTGTTACATATTTCAGTTTAATTCGTGGTTTTGTGGTAATTAATTGAAGGTGGAGGGGTTACCAGCCCCTCGCACCCGTCCAGAGCCCCCGTTTAGCCCCTGTGGTGGACACATATGCCATGAGGGGAGGAGCCAATCAAAATTGGAACTCCCCCTACAGCACTGTCCACGACAGAGTTGCCCGTCCGGCACCGCGAGGAGGTAGTGGGTTGTTTTGCCGCACTCTACACACACACATGCACAGACACGCACTCTACACACACATGCACAGACACGCGCACACTACACACACACATGCACAGACACGCGCACTCTACACACACACAGACACGCGCACTCTACACACATGCACAGACACGCGCACACACACACACATGCACAGACACGCGCACACACACACACATGCACAGACACGCGCACACACATGCACAGACACGCGCACTCTACACACATGCACAGACACGCGCACTCTACACACATGCACAGACACGCGCACTCTACACACACACATGCACAGACACGCGCACTCTATACACACACATGCACAGACACGCGCACACTACACACACACATGCACAGACACACACACATGCACAGACACGCGCACTCTACACACACACATGCACAGACACGCACACACACACACATGCACAGACACGCGCACTCTACACATGCACAGACACGCGCACACACACACACATGCACAGACACGCGCACTCTACACACATGCACAGACACGCGCACCCTAAACACACACATGCACAGACACGCGCACACTACACACACACATGCACAGACACGCGCACACTACACACACACGCACAGACACGCGCACACTACACACACACATGCACAGACACGCGCACACTACACACACACATGCACAGACACGCGCACACACACACATGCACAGACACGCGCACTCTACACACACACACATGCACAGACACGCGCACACTACACACACACATGCACAGACACGCGCACTCTACACACACACATGCACAGACACGCACACACTACACACACACATGCACAGACACGCGCACACTACACACACACATGCACAGACACGCGCACACTACACATGCACATGCACAGACACGCGCACACTACACACACACACATGCACAGACACGCGCACACTACACACACACATGCACAGACACGCGCACACTACACACACACATGCACAGACACGCGCACACTACACACACACATGCACAGACACGCGAACACTACACACACACATGCACAGACACGCGCACACACACACATGCACAGACACGCGCACACTACACACACACATGCACAGACACGCGCACACTACACACACACATGCACAGACACGCGCACACTACACACACACATGCACCGACACGCACACACTACACACACACACATGCACAGACACGCGCACACTACACACACACATGCACAGACACGCGCACACTACACACACACACATGCACAGACACGCGCACACTACACACACACACATGCACAGACACGCGCACACTACACACACACACATGCACAGACACGCGCACTCTACACACACACATGCACAGACACGCGCACTCTAATGCCCTAAGCGATGTGCGGGGTCGCCCTTGTCACGACGCGAGATTTTCTCGTCTGCCCCCCCTCCCACCGGCACCCTGACCCCCCTCCCCGTGTTTATTTGACTTCACGTTCGCGCCTCACGAGGTCGGATCAACACGGAGCTACGTGTCCGTGTGTGAGTGTGTATGTTGAGTAACTGGTGTGGTGTATAAACATCGCCACTGGGGAGACAAAGGCGGTCGCGCGTGGTGCTGGCCACCCACCCCCTCGTGTGCCGTGCCGGCCTTCATAGGTGCTCGCTAACAGCACTTGCCCCAGCAGTCTGTTAAGGCTACACGGGGGATCTTTGTCTTTTGGAGCGGTAGTGCAGCAGTTAGTGCATCTCACTACGAGCCCGGCGACCCAAATTCGATTCCCACTCCCAGTGAACACCGGTGATGAACACCGGTGATGATTATCTGAACCGGTCCTGGGTTTCCCCTAGGTCGACTCAAATGTCTCCCCCCCGTGTGTGCCCAGTGACCCCCTGCGCGCTAGTGGACTCCGTCTCCGCCAGCCTCGCGAAGCCCCCCGCGGGGGGGGCGCGGAGTCCCTGCGCCGAGTCGGGGGTGGGGGCGCGTGAGCCGGCCACCGCCGCCACCCTCGGCACGACCGCGACCAACAACAACACCGCCACCGCAGCGGCCACCGCCACCTCGTCGTCCTCCTCCTCGTCATCCGCCTCGTCGCTGGGAGCGCGACCGCGTCAGCGCCGCAAGCCGCGAGTGCTCTTCTCGCAGGCGCAGGTGTTCGAGCTGGAGCGGCGCTTCAAGCAGCAGCGCTACCTCTCGGCGCCCGAGCGCGAGCACCTCGCCTCACTCCTCAAGCTCACCTCCACGCAGGTGAGCGGGGGGGGGGGGGTAAGGGTGGGATTCACCTCCACGCAGGTGAGCGGGGGGGGTAAGGGAGGGATTCACCTCCACGCAGGTGAGCGGGGGGGGGGGGTGAGGGAGGGATTCACCTCCACGCAGGTGAGCGGGGGGGGTAAGGGAGGGATTCACCTCCACGCAGGTGAGCGGGGGGGGTAAGGGAGGGATTCACCTCCACGCAGGTGAGCGGGGGGGGGTAAGGGCGGGATTCACCTCCACGCAGGTGAGCGGGGGGGGGGGGGTGAGGGAGGGATTCACCTCCACGCAGGTGAGCGGGGGGGGTAAGGGAGGGATTCACCTCCACGCAGGTGAGCGGGGGGGGGGGGTGAGAGAGGGATTCACCTCCACGCAGGTGAGGGGGGGGGGGGTGAGGGAGGGATTCACCTCCACGCAGGTGAGCGGGGGGGGGGTGAGGGAGGGATTCACCTCCACGCAGGTGAGCGGGGGGGGGGTGAGGGAGGGATTCACCTCCACGCAGGTGAGCGGGGGGGGGGGATTCACCTCCACGCAGGTGAGCGGGGCAAGGAGCGGGGCCTAAACAGGAAGAGGCGGGGTTTAATCAGGAAGGGGTGGGGCCTATAGAAGTTCAACTTCCATGTTGAGTTAAGGTCATAGAAGCATAGAATGGACGTGTGCCACGGTTGCAGCCACAGGAGTCCTCAGCGGTTCGCGATCGCGTCACCTCTCCACACACGGTGGTCGTACAATCCCCTTGGTCATCCAATTAACCCACCCACTCACCCACCCGTGTATGTCTCCCCCCCCCCCCTCCAGGTGAAGATCTGGTTTCAGAATCGACGCTACAAGTGCAAGCGCCAGAGGCAGGACCGCAGCCTGGAGCTGCACCAGTGCGGGCCGTTGCCCCCGCGCCGCGTGGCCGTGCCTGTGCTTGTGAGGGACGGGAGGCCCTGCCTGCCCGCGGGGGGGTCTCAGCACGGGGGGGCGGCCGCCGCGGCGGCGGCGGCGGCGGCAGCCGCCGCCGCCGCCGCGGCCGCCGCGTACAACGTGACCTCCGTGTCGTCCCCCCCCTACGGGGCCTACCACACCTCCTACAGCGGCTTCTCCTGCGGGGGCTTCTCCCCGGGGCCGGCCCCCCACCACGGGGGGTACGGGGGGGCCGGGGTCGCGGCGGCCTACGGGACCCCTTCCGCCATGAACACGGCCGCGTTCATGAACATGAACTTGCAGAGCCTCATGAACGGCGGCGGGGGGGCGGCCGCGGCAGCCGCGGGGGTCGCCGGGGCCACGGGGGTGGTCGGAGGGGTGGGGGGGGTGGGGGGGATGGGGGCGGGCGGGGGCGGGGCGGCGGTGGGGGCTCAGTCCCCCGGGCTGCAGGGCGCCCTGCACGGAATCCGCGCGTGGTGATGGTGACGATGATGGGAGCGGTGAATGAAGAACGAACTCGAGATCGATCGAACGATCGAGCGGACGGACGGACGGTCTTTACGGACTAACTTGCGGCGCAGGGGGGCGCTGGCGTCATCTCCACGCTCGATCCGCTGCTGGCTGGAGTGCGGGACCCCACTCGTGGAACCCGTGGTCTGCGGTCGATGAGTTCGGCGCGCGCGGTGGGCGGGAGACGAGGTGGTGAGAGGGAGACGAGGTGGGGAGCGGGAGACGAGGTGGTGAGAGGGAGACGAGGTGGTGAGAGGGAGACGAGGTGGTGAGAGGGAGACGAGGTGGTGAGAGGGAGACGAGGTGGTGAGGGGGAGACGAGGTGGTGAGCGGGAGACGAGGTGGTAAGAGGGAGACGAGGTGGTGAGGGGGAGACGAGGTGGTGAGGGGGAGACGAGGTGGTGAGAGGGAGACGAGGTGGTGAGCGGGAGACGAGGTGGTGAGAGGGAGACGAGGTGGTGAGGGGGAGACGAGGTGGTGAGCGGGAGACGATGTGGTGAGCGGGAGACGAGGTGGTGAGAGGGAGACGAGGTGGGGAGCGGGAGACGAGGTGGTGAGAGGGAGACGAGGTGGTGAGCGGGAGACGAGGTGGTGAGCGGGAGACGAGGTGGGGAGCGGGAGACGAGGTGGGGAGCGGGAGACGAGGTGGTGAGCGAGTCCCCTGGAGCCAGGGACTGCACCCATCTACTTAGAACGGCACCTGTGTTGTTGTTGCTGTGTTGTTGTTGTTGTTGTTATAATTATTATATTAATATTGTTTGTTGTTGCTGTTGTTATCATATGATGGCGACATACACAGTCGCTATCATTTTATATATGCATTATATATACACAGTACATAAGCGCGTGTGGGTGTGTGTAGCCTTGACAGAAGGGCGACTCCTGTGTTCGTGTCGCCCGCTGTGGGGGTGGAGGGGCTCGCGTAGTCCACCTCACGACCTTTGGGGGGGGGGCTCGCGTAGTCCACCTCACGACCTTTGGGGGGGGGGGCGGGGCTGGCGTGGGGTGCATCGTATCAGAATGTATCAGTTCTCTTTATTTTAAAAATTAACAAACTTTCTTCCTGTTTATGTCGTTAATTCAATCAAAGTGTAGTGTATGTAACTGAGGCACACCATGCAAGAGTGGTGGCGATGTTGGTGGAGGTGATGTTGGTGGTGATGTTGGTGGTTGTGGTGGTGATGATCTTGGTGGAGGTGATGTTGGAGGTGATGTTGGTGGTGGTGGTGGTGATGGTGCAGGTGATGTTGGTCGTGATGTTGGTGGTGGTGATGTTGGTGGTGATGGTGCAGGTGATGTTGGTAGTGATGTTGGTGGTGATGGTGCAGGTGATGTTGGTAGTGGAGGTGATGTTGGTAGTGGTGGTGATGTTGGTGGTGGTGATGAGACGCTCTTTCCGCCACCTCAGCCCTCTGCTGAGCAGCAGCAACAACCCTGGCAAGCCACTGCGTTGAGGAAGCCTCTCTCCGCAACACTCGAACACGGAGCAGAGTTACTCCCATCAATCTCCCTTCACCAGGCTCCACCACAACCCCACCAGGGGTTGTGGTGGAGCCTGGTGTGTGGCGTGTGTCCTGTGTCCTGTGTGTACTGTGTACTTTTTGTGTGTACTCTGTGGTGTGTAGTCTATGTGTGTCCTGTGTGTGTGTTGTGTACTCTGTGTACTGCATGTGGTGTGTACTATATTTGTGTACTGTGCATGTGAACACAAAAGACAAAGATTCCCCATGTAGCCCACACAGGCTGTTTTGGGCAAGCACAGTGAACAAACAGCAACTGTGGCCAGCACCACGCTCAGCCGCCTTTGTCTCCCCATTGCTGATATTACTGTACATACAGTACACATACACACGGCACAAAGCTCGGTCCACGTGGGACCTGTTCAGATATTACTCGCCACTCATGTTGGCGGTGATTAGCGCATTGCTCTGCGTTTGTGTAGCGCAGTGCGATAACCACTACGCCACCGCTCCCCACACTAGAGAACAGAGAACGCACGTACAATAACGAGTGTGCAATCAATGTCCTCGGATGTTTAACGATTACGTGTTATCTTTAATTAACAGAGCGTCATTCCCTTGCAATGCAGTGCGTGGTGGAGTTCCTCCCACGCAGAGTCAAACTCTCATCCCTCATGGGGACTCACGGCCAAACATCCCAAAGTAGCAGCAGCGCCCTTCTCAATACGAGTACTATTAGATACCCATCACGACCGTCATCATCACCACCAAAGGTCCCCCGGGTAGCCCGAACAGACTGTAGGGGCAAGTGCTGTTAGCGAGCACCTCTGCAGGTCGGCACGGCGCCCGAAGTATGGGGGTAGGAGGGTGGGTGTGGGCTGGGTGTGGACAGGACTACACCCAGCCGTCTTTGTCTCACCACCAGCATCATCACCACGACGATGGCGATGATGATGGTGGTGGTGCTGATGGCGATAGACGAGAGGCTGTAACGGGGCTCTCCGCGGCCTCCTCGCTCACCGGGGAGCGGCGCCGCCTTTGAAGCGCGCCCCGAGCCTCGCGTAAATCACCGGAGCCGGGGCGGATGTCATTAATTACTGGGGGGCGGGGGGGGGGCTGCTCCACTCGCAACGCAATAATTATCAGGGTCGTTAAAATCAGGGGTTAGAGGATTTTAAAAAAACGTTTTTTGCATTACCGGTAACCGCATGGAAAAACCGGTTCGCGGCTCAAGTCGAAATGTCTCTGGGCGCGCTGACGACGACCGGTTTGGTGCCGCGGCGAGGGAGGCGGCGATCGCGAAGTGTCCGCCGCTTCGATTCGACCTCCCGGCGCGGCAGACGAAGCGGCGACGCTCGTGCGAGTTTCCCTTCGCGACTCGCCGCAGGGGCCGCGCGCGGTGGGGTCACGTGTGGGCACGTGACCCGGCTTCTCGGCGTGGAGTAGCAGGCCAAGTACAACCTCGACAGCTCGCCTATATAGGGGGCTGTGTGATATACTGCATACAGACTGTATGTACATAGCACAGCGCAGGGCAGACAAAGGCGGTGGGGCGAAGTGATAGACACATCACTCCATCGTGGATTGCTCGGTGACAGCACTTGCCCCAACAATCTGAGTAGGCTACCTGGGGGCGTTTGTGAATTCACGACCTCGTCTCCCGCGGGCTTTTCTGCCGCTCGGCTGGTAGACTGGAGTTGGTGACACGTGACTCGTAACCCACAGCCATAGAGAAATGTGGACTGGATGTGGTGTGCCGGGATCGCCGACCCGGACAGGCCCTGCTGAAATGAAGTCCTGCACGCGTGTGTCTGTGTGTGTTTCTGTCTGTGTGTGTGTGTCTGTGTGTGTATCTGTCTGTGTGTGTCTGTATGTGTTTCTGTGTGTTTCTGTCTGTGTGTGTGTCTGTGTGTGTATCTGTCTGTGTTTCTGTGTGTGTATCTGTCTGTGTGTGTCTGTCTGTGTGTGTCTGTATGTGTTTCTGTGTGTATCTGTGTGTTTCTGTCTGTATGTGTGTCTGTGTGTGTATCTGTCTGTGTGTTTCTGTCTGTGTGTGTTTGTGTGTTTCTGTGTGTGTTTCTGTGTGTGTGTCTGTGTGTGTATCTGTCTGTGTGTTTGTATCGTGACCCCGTATCGCTGACGAATGTTCACACGGGTCCTGGACCTCCCCTTCGTCGACTTAGCTTGTAATGAGTAGCTGGTGTAATAGAAAGGCTTGCCCCAAAAGTCGCTTACGGCTATACGGGGGATATTTGTATTATTCTATATATGACCGTATGTTTGAAGATACCACTGTGAATGAGTGTTTATATGAGTGTGTGTATCTGTGTGATTTGTGACTGTGAGTGTGTGAAAGCTGCCTACCCCTGTTCACGCATTGACCCACATATGGAAATGTGGCGGTTAGCGCGTTGCGTTATGAACCCGGCGACCCGGGTTTGATTCCCGTTCACGGCCACGATCATGCAGTGACGACTATCTGAGCTGGTCCTCCCCTAGGCCGACTCAGCCTCAAATGAGTACCCGGTGCGGTGTGTAAACATCGCCACTGGGGAGACAAAGGCGGTCGGGCGTGGTGCTGGCCACCCACCCCCTCGTGTACCGTTCCGGCCTTCATAGGTGCTCTCTAACAGCACTTGCCCCTACAGTCTGTTAAGGCTACACGGAGGATATTTGTCACTGATAGAACCGCGTACACATCAACTTTTCCCGTGTGGTGGGATTAAGTTTGGCTACTCCCACCGCTTCCAAGACGCCTGGGCAGCGGGGAAGAGTCGGCCGAATATCTCTCCTCGAGGCGCTCTCTAGAGACCCTCCCCAGAAGGGGCTCCCTCCAGTGGAGGTCCCTTCCGCTAGCAGTGTCGTGTGCTGGAAATTGCAGGGCTGCGCCTCTCGCAGTGCATCAATATTGACTCTCCTATGCGCAAGCGACGCAGGCGCGACCGTAGAGACGCGCTCAGTTCGCGACAACGCGCGCGCGTGTGTCCGTGTTTATATCCACGTGTGTGTCTGTATCTGTGTGTCCGTGTGCACACATCCACGTGTGTGTCTGTATCTGTGTGTCCGTGTGTATATATCCACGTGTGTGTCTGTATCTGTGTGTCCGTGTGTATATATCCACGTGTGTGTCTGTATCTGTGTCCGTGTGTATATATCCACGTGTGTGTCTGTATCTGTGTGTCCGTGTGTATATATCCACGTGTGTGTCTGTATCTGTGTGTCCGTGTGTACATATCCACGTGTGTCTGTGTATGTTTCTGTGTATGCCTATGTGTGTGTGTATATTTATGTATCTGTGTGTGCATCTATACATACGGGTGTGTGTACCTGTTTCGGGCACTGGCGGAGTCAGTGGGGGGTCGGGGGGTGGAGTGGCACGTGCCCCCCCCCCCCCCAATGATCCGATCGAAATCCTTAATTTCGATCGGATCATTGGGGTTTATTAGTAATAAATCGCCATTTTGCGACCCCCACTGCCACTGTTTAGCATATTATTATGTGCCAGGGACT